CAAACCCATATTAATGAAGAATGCTTCCTCACCTCCTACTAATATTGGGGAGTTGAAGGCCGCACCGGATTCTAAAAAAATCTTCAAAAGCGAATAATATTTTATCATCGAAATGTTGGGTTCATTCTCAGGTTAATGGAGTAATGTCCTCATTATAAAGTTTTATCTGTTTATTTATTACATAATTAAAAAAAACAATTATGGGAGTCAATCATGTTGCCTAGTCTATGATAAACTCTACCTCTATATTTTAAACTCTACCTCTATATTTTAAACTTTACCAGCATAAACACACTAAAATTTAATTGTTCCGTTAATATGTTGTAATTTTTTTTTCATGTTCATACTTAAAATAAGACACAAGTCCAACTGACTTTTCTTCAATGCATAATTTTAGTATTTGTAAAATTGAGATTATAGACTTTTTTTTTGTGAACACCAAAATGACATACCATACTCCTGATCACAATTGATTTAATGTTAACAACTGCTAAGAAATAAAAGAAGCCAAGAGTTCATATCAAAACCAGAAAAAAAAATGAGACACGTATAATCTATATGAAAATTACAATGGACGTTTGAAAATACATTTTCTACAAATACAGAAAAATTAAGTTCATTTGTATATAATTCAAATGGAATACAGCTGAAAATATATAATCTACAAATGATAACTTAATTAGTCAATATTTGCTTTTGTTAGAAATTATAATTTTAAAAAGCTGCTAAAATAAGATATTAAAGAAGGCCCTCTGTCGGTGTTATTATAAGCCAGTGGTGTCAAGCTGAAAGTTTTGCTACCACCCCAGGCAAATTGTTACAAATATGTATCCATATCATGGAAGCAAATTGGCCACCGAACGATGACAAGCTTCACAAGCGCTCCCAGACAGAGACCACCAAAGAGTTTTTGGGGTCATCCTGCTAGGGCATTGACCTGCCTGTAACCTTCCTTCCATGCAGTATTGGCAAAAAAAAACCCTGTTAAAATATAATCCGACATAATACCTCTCTGAACACTTGTTCTAATTTGGAAGTCTTGGAAGTACTGGGAAAACTGCCGTAACCTGCGAGTGGTTTACTCAAACAAAGCTACGACTTAAGTACATACTGTTGAGGCAGAGCGACCAAGTTAGCAAAAGTCTTATTAATACAACTTCCAGTATTGTAAATAAACTTAAGATTAATAGGAAGTCAAACAAAACAATATAAAGGTTGACCCAAAATAACCTTTTAGTATTTTCAACAGAAAGACCGACTTGAATTGAATTAAAAAGTTGTCGCCCAAAGGCAATGGAAATAATGGGGGTTGATGATGATGATGATGATGATGATGATGATGGGGGCTGACGTTCTAATGTCATAAGCAAAAAATTGATGGGGAAAAAAATGAATGAACGAAAAGCAGTTACTGCATAATAAATTAGTATTATAATGATTATTTCAAAAGAATTATTCCACTATGTAAGATGAAAAGCATAATAATCATTTCTATAAGTTTCTGTACAATGTCATTGAGGTGAACATTAAATTTTAATGCAGTATTATAAAACATGAACTAAATGACACAATGCCTAATTTCTCGTTATTAGAATTGCATTAAAAATTAATGTGATAGATGAAAGAATAGAAATACATTGTTATGAGTTGAACATCTTCAGAGCATAATGGTTCAGAATACATTATGTATTATCACCAGTCACGAACTAGACTTGCGGTTTAATAGCATCTATTTCCCATTCAAATCAACAGAATCAAATCAAACTACTGGAGCTGAATTTTAGTCAGAATTGAGTTTGTGACTAGGTGGTAAAAAGGGTGAAGAAGTCGGTGTGATATATGACTTTAGGAAAGAAATATTTTTTTAAATAAGAGAAAAATATATTAAGAGAAATAATAAATAGATGTGTATTTTTTTTTAGCATTTTGCGGCATGTGAGTGAAAAGTTCTTTTATCGTAGAATTGAGTCTTAGTGTACATTTTGGATGATTTCTCTTTACATACTGTACTATGAGCTATACTCTGTTTTACATTACATATGTGGTGTATTAAAGTAAAATATTTATAATGAAATAATTTTGGAAGTGTGACAGTACAAAGTGTCAATCAATTATTAAAACTTACCAACAATGTAATCTCTTTCAATATTTATTTAACTGTCAAATGAAATATCAATGTAACTACAGTATATTAACTTCTTGATGGGACCCAATTCTTTAGAAACCAATTTATCAAGGAATGGTGACTCATGAAAAGAAATGAAGTCTTGATGTCATGTATCGAATGATTAATTTTACTTGGATCAATGAAAAATTACGAATCAAACTAAATGTCGCATTTATCAAAAGGCTGATATATGAAACTTCTTAATCGCGCCGGCATGGTGGCCGTACAAAAACTGGGTGGTGTGACAGCCGCAGCAATGCTTAAGAGCAATGCTGTCTATTTTTAAATATGTGTGAAAGGTATTGCAAAAGTTATATGTGTTAATTCTATTGAAGTTTGATTAAGTTAATTCAGTACAGTAGTGGCATGATAAGCTGATGTTTATAATGATAATGATGGTGAAGAATTTCTAAATATTGTTAGATTTGCAAAACTTTCAAATTTTTGAAGTTGGCCCAAATTCAGTTAAAGAAAACTTATTTATGTAATATCCCTATTGATAACTTGGGTGACATTTTCAAATTGGATAAAAAAAAAAAAAAATCATTTATTGTTATCACATAACAGGGTCTCCGACCAGTTGATAAAAAACCACTTTTAGGATCCTGGTTTCAATGGTCTTTAGCAGCTTTGGTCTCTAGAATAAATAGAATAATAAAGATAAGATATGGACCACAGAAAAGTGGTCTACAATCGTAAGGGTCTTTAATTATAGGGGAGACCTGTATTTTGTTGAAAGATTCCTCCAAAATCTGGTTTTCATCTTTACAAAATCTGTAGTTACTATATCAATAGAGAATACAGTAGATTATTGTCAATTTCTTGAAATAAACTCTGTTAATTAACACAAAGTAAAGAGCATTATTGATTCCCAATTAGACAGAACATTTAACTCTTTGTCAGTCTCCCTAACTGATCGTCGATAATTAATGGCGTTTGATCCAATTGAGACACAAGGACCTTTTAGTACTGTTAATAAATTCAATCGCAAAGATTCGCGAGACCACTCAAGTGCTTCGAGTGGCGAACGGACTGTTGGTAAATTATCCCACTTGAGCGTAAACACAAGAGAATCACAAACAAATAACACCTATTAACTAAGCCAAAATTTAATTTCATGTCGATAAACATGAATAGAATAGATAAATGTCAAACACGAACAAGTTAATATTATATGGTGGTGTTGCAAGTACGCTAATGGTAGAGCTTTTCCATCAAATTATATCAAAGTGTTAGATTGCCTGAAGGGTTTTATAAGACAATGTACTTTCGTAATTGATTTTTTTGCTACGTTCGCAAACATTAAACGTGGTATTGAATTTCAAAATAATATAATAAAGGAAATTAAATATAAAAATAATTTTGACCCATTTAGCTACTTCTTTGTCTACATTTCCACCATTGCGTAAGTTTCCTTTACCTTAGAATATTAAATATTAACGGTATCAAATTTTACATAAATTGTGAATGGTAAAAGCAGGGATGACACCTCTGTCAGATACTGCCTCCTATTTATTACTATAATTATTACTCATATCTTTGGGATATAATATCATTTAAACCAAAGTTAATTTAGAGTTTTTAAAAATATTTAAATACAAATGCTAATCCTTATGTTTTTAAGAATATTTTTTCCCAAAACTTAAGAACAGTACAGTAGTTGGTTTGATCCGTGGAAATGTTTTGTCGGGGTCTAATTCCATTATGAATCAAGCTGGTTTTATGTAAGAAAGGTTATAGCCCATAGTCTTTTAGAAAAGATGTTTAAGCCATTGGTCCTGTGTATTGTACAACACTGTCTACAGTTTGTTAAAAAAAACAAAAAAACAACACAATTATTGCAATACAATACCTGGTAGAAAGCAGGGGATTGTCTCCCACTGTGTTGAATGTTGTTTACAAAATTTTAAAATGAATTTCAATGTTTCTGATCAGTCTCATTATTAAATTTCTCCAAGAGGTTTCTACATATTTTTTATTGGCGGTTGTTCACCAAGTTTCTGAATGTTTGTAATTTTAACCTGGGTCTTTCAAGATCTCTGTGAAGTGCTCCAAGAAATGTTAAGCAATATAATTATTTTTAACAAGAAGACATTTCATAAACGGTATAACACAAAGTACATTTGGAAATTTTATTTCACATTACTATACTAATGAATGTCTGAATAGGTTGTTTATATGCAACGATCAGTGTAGGATTATTCATAATTAGTTCAAAATTGAGTGAATAATGTACAATCATTGCTTGTGGCAATCCTAATTCTTCCTTATTTAGGTTGAGAAGCTCATAGTGTTTTAAAGTTTGAGGAATGGAGCCCATTCAACGCTTACCAATTCATACCTAAATTTTCCGACAATGGGGTCATTTGAGAGAACAAATGTGTTGAAATGATTTTACAGTAGAATAGTGTTATAAACAATGCATGTTTTGTCTTTTACTGCACTCTATATTTTGTTAGCTTCACTGCTTAAATTTCACTATTCAAAGGTATGACCTTGTTGGACGTGTTCTAGACCTTCTTAACAAGTAAACAGCCTCTGGTATACTTCCTCTAACACTAAATAACTGAAGAAAAGAGCCTTTCTTTGAGTTTTTATACCTATTTATTAAAGCGGCCAAAACTTAGTGTACTCTCTGGAATTAGCTTCAGGTTGCAGAGTCAACGGATTACGCATGACTTCTGTTCAAGGTTACTAAACAGAAATCTTCTGTTCTCTTTCCAAGATCGATTGAAGTGAAAGACATGATTTGTAAATAAAGATTCATTTTAAATGTAAATTTAAAGATAATATAAATAAAACAAATGAATAAGAAACTTAAAATGTAACAAACCTTTCCAGCTCCAGGTGCGTCCTTTATCCGTCCGGCATTGCGGAGCAGTGAGGGTGGAGCTGCAGGAGGACAAACTCGTAGTGTTTGACAGAAGTTGGTTGGGAAGAGCGGTGGGTCTGGTGGAGGAAGCTCTGGTGGTAGACATCCTTGGTGGTGTCGTTTCTTTTTCTTGGAGCTCAAATTCAATTTTTGTGCCGCTCTGAAAAAGAAGATAATAATCGTATTATTATAAAGAAAAAAACAACAATGGAAAATGAAATATCTGTATATCTGCATTTTTCTGTAGTGAAATCCATACTTTATCAAAAGATAAAGAGCATGATATATCTGTATCTTATTCTTATAAACAGAAGTAAATTATTCTATCACATGATTCTGTTTTTTTTTCATTATCATTAAAAAGGAATAACAAAAAAACATTGTGATCAAAATCAGATGAAATTAATATAATATTTTACAAAATGAAAAAAAGAACAGAATATAGAGAAAGTGCAGAATAAAAGACCTCTTTGGATGAACTGTAATGACCTCCGTCTCAACCAAATATGAAAATGAGGAATTTTCACTGATCCAAATTTGTTCCTTCATTGTCACCAACCAACTTAGATATGACTCTCAAACTCTTTGAACTTTCACAAAAATAGGGTTGTTCTAGAACTTGACCCACTGGGTTTTGGTTACCATAGAGATAGCATACAATCCTTTATTACTAGACCTTGCCCCTAGAGAGGTTAACTTTGGCCATTCATAACTAGTTCTGTCTACTAATTGGTCAATGGCTGTGTTAATAGTATCCATTCATATTGCCTCTGAGAAAGTCAACATAAAAATACTCAAAGTTAGGATACTGTATGCATTGTGAGGTAAAAATAGCTCTAAGTTACCTATTCTCTTATGGTAAAGAAGAGCACATAAGTTTAAATATACTAAACACCAGGTAGTTGTTACTATAACAACCCCTGTAAACACTTAATCCAAAACATGTACCATAGTTTCTCTGGTATAAGCCCTCCCCTTCCCCCTCCCTCTTAAACATTGGGCAAATGTTTGGGGATGGGCTTATATCTGCGAAATTCTCCCTTTTAATCAAACGGCAATTTTTGGGCACTGTAAGCCTAATTCAAAGTCAATAATTGAAGTTTTTCTGAGAATATGTGTAAAAGTGATAACGAAGAAAGGTTTGTACATAAAATTGGACATAAAGTGGAGGGTGGGATTATATCAATGGGATTATACACGATGTTGGTTACAGTATTTATGAATCAAATAGTTCATAAGCCAATAAATCAGAAATTGTGATAGATAATTCTATTCTATGAGTGCCTCAGTTAAGATTATTTGCATTTTGATGGACCTTGTGTCAGTCCACCTACAGATTTGACCCAATTGTGTACTTAAATTGGGTTAAATTGGGTGGGATTATACAATACCTAAATATAACTACATGAACAGAACGGCATGTATTGTAGAACAGTACTTACACTTTATCTTCATATCAAATTCATATGTGAATCATTTAACAGCTGCATTGTTAGGCTACGTCTACTAAACATCTGGGTAACACTTATTTTCTTGTAAATCTAAAGTCAGTCATAATCAGGCATCAAAGGGTGCTTTTATTTTAAAGCAACAATGAAAGCAATCTCAACAATTTGCAAGGAATGCAAAGGATGCTGATGAGTGGTGAAGAAACGAATGTCCATGAACAGAAAACAAGAGATGAGTGTTCAAATTCCAACTCGTGTATATAAAAAAGTTCAATTAACTATAATAATTATAATCTGAGAATTTTTTACTACACAACCCTGTTTAAAAGATACGGTTGAAGTAAAATCCGGATTCTCCTCAATATCTAAACACTAAAACACTCAATTAAAAGGATCGATAATTTATCAAAATTCCAATGAATTTATTAATTATTCCCTAAACATAGGCCTATAAACTCTTTACTACAAAAAAAAAGAGAAAAAAACATAATTTAATAAATGTCAAATTCAAGGATCTACAATGAATATTGGAATGATAATATGTTTCTTTGCTAGGAAAATATGTTCTAATTTTCTAATTGAACACTAACAACTTATTACATACAAAAACCATCAAAGCATTGAATTAATTTTTTAAGTTTTTCACCTCAACTATACACAAAGCCTAATTTGAATGAACTCTACATGGTGTATCATAAGCATTTATCATTTAATGAACTTTGATATGAAACTATACAGTTGAGACCTGTTTGAAAATGGAATTGTGCTAAGTGAAATCGGAAACATCTTGTTATTTCCTGCAAATTATTCAAAATACTCAATTTTGGAGTTTTAAAACAACACACATGTGCTTCAGTTTTGTCAATCACAAGATACCTCAGGCGACACACCTGAGAAACTAAAATTTCATACTTTCATGGAGGCAAGTGTAACTATCTTTAATGCCTAAGAGCTAGGGATACAGGGAAGGTCATGAGTAGGCAGAGGGTATAAAGTAAAATAGCACTGTGGATAGAGAGAAAACCAAACAACTACAAGGTTAGGCCATGGAGGTATAAAATATTTTTATACCTCCATGGTTAGGCTAAGATGGCAAACAATCTAGGCTATGTTAATTTACTTAAAGAATGAGTAATTAAAATTAGCTTGATTTATGGTCATTACCAGAAGAAGGCCAAAGATATCCCACAAGGCAACATTTTGAGGTTGTTGGTCTCCAACTCAAGGAGTAACAATTAGATTACATCATTAAGAAAATATAAAATGAAAAATTACAGAATGACCTTTTTTTGGAAGGCTCTGAGATGTTTCTTCAAAAACTCCCAATAAAAAGAAAAACAATAAAATTAACATCATTACATTTTGTGGTAGAATTATTTTGCAAATGCTGCATAACCCCATCTGAATCTTCGCACATTTGGTGAATTTGTCTAGGAAAAAAATCCATAAATAATTTCTTACGTGTGGAACCTGTTTGAATGCCTGGGTCCAGTAACTGGGTCCAGTTATGCATTTAAACTAAGTTTCATGATGAGGCTTTGGGAATGGAGCTATTTTAAGTGTTGGAAAACATCTTGATTTTTATAGGATTTAAACTCAGGACCCTGGGATTCAAAGGCAAATGTCTTAACATACCAACAAAAAATAGCTCTAATAAGCTTCCCATGCATACAGAAACCCTATAACATATTTTTTTAAAAAACTTACTTCATCATTATATGATTGGTGAGTGTCATATGAAACTTGATAGAAAAGCTTCCTCTAACTTATTTGACGTCCACTTGTCAAGAACGAAGTGATGATGAGAAGAAAAATGCTTCTCACAACAGCTTCCACGAAACAAAGTTACAGTAGGTATGGTCTGTAGTAGTATGTTCCAACAGGGAGTAAGTAAGACACAAGATTGAGAAAACTGTCTATCAGAGAGCTAGCCTTAGGCCCACCCAGGCTCTGTGAAGGCACCTAGCTGTGATATGAGGACCTGGTAAATGAAACGTCCTGCGTAGATCTGAATTTGTGGCAACTGCAACAATTATGAAGCTGGCGATTGTGTCATAATGGCCCAACAGGAGATCAAGCATTGGTGAATAGTTTATGAAGTCATGAATGATCCTGATGTACAGCTCTCCTCTGAGTTTAAGAGAATACCTGTAGAGCTGATGATTACTATAGATCAGTTATCATGATTGATTGTATTTAAGGCATCAAGAAACTGTCATTTACAAATCAAGGAGTATCACTGCTAATTTGTTTATTGCTGGCACAATGTGATGAGGTAAAATTAAGGGGCAGGTGTTAAGGAGAAGTGGTGATGAAGAGTGACACAGTAAAAACTAGTCCTGCATACTACCTCCAGATATATATTAACTTGTAACAATCAGCCCTATAATATGAACAATCATATTTGTTCATTCTAGGTACTTCAAATTCTTTGATTTGATTGGCGTTATAATCATATCATTTAGAGTCTATTTATAATTTCTAGAGAAAACAGGTGGAGAAATTATCGACACAAAGAAATATTATTTTAATTTAATCTGTTTCTTCAATAACCTAGTTCGGAATTAATGTATTAAAAGTGTTTTTATGAAAGTAATTGCATAGACAGATTTAGTGATTAATAAAGTATAAAGCATTTGAGGCTAAAAGTAAAAAAAAAAACTGAATAAAGGGGTCTTTTTTGGAAAAAAGAACAAGGCATCCTGTTCATCCTAGGCACATATGGATACATATCGGTGCCTTAATGAGGGTACACAAACTTTAACGTAGGATCTCTTTTCCATGTTTTGCCTTATGGGGTAAAATGAAAGAACCATTTTCTATTGTCTAAAATAAAAAACGATGAAAGCCTCATGAGTTTTCAAAATTATCCGAAGCAATACCGATAATTTTCATTCTCATGACCTAATGTAATTAAGGAATTAAAGAATATATTTTCATTTTAAAAGCTAGGTATGAGATGGTGTTCTCAACAGTTGGTCAACCATTTCCAAAATCATGTGTCCCTAACAGTTACTGTACTTTGTCCTTTAATCTAAGATAAATTATAACTAACTTATTTTAAATGACAAAGGTAATAAATGGCACTTGTGTTGTTTGTGGTATAGAAAACAGGAAACAACTAGAAATTGATGAAAGATCAACAAGTTAGTTATAAATATCAATCGCTGAAATCCGGTAATAATTCAGAAGTACTTGTTGCATGCAACTGACAAGATAATAGTATAGATAAATTTATCAATACATGTCACTCTACTGCCAATCAAATTGATCCGATTGGATCAGTAGCTAGTTGCATCACAAGGCCTTTGTCCCCTACCTAGTCCTCTTATTCTACCTCTGAATAGAAGCAAACAGGGAAATTGGATAAGTGGGATTATCTAGACGGAGATGTCTTTCAGAACCAACTTGGTGTCACGTTCCTGTATTTCTGATATATACCAATTAAACATACAGTTATATGTATATCCTAGAGTCACATATAAATACTTTGTCATTGGTCGATAGGTATTGTATTATTAGGCTCCCTTGTCTAATAAATTAGAAACTTATAAAAAAAAATTGTATGGCTTTACTGAAAGTAATCAACAAAACAATGGTACCTTACTTTACCTTCTTATGTTTACTAAGGCTTCACTTCGAATGCTGGACAAATGCTTAGGGGGGTAGCTGACTCTTTGAAATTATATAGAACATTAACTGCCTCTGGACATTGGCAATTTTTGGCTTCTTATTATGTATATAGATTGAATAAATATAATTGAATAAAACTACACAAAAAAATGCAAGGTTGTACAAATACTTACAGGGTGACAATAGCTTCATTAAGAAACCTCTCAAAAAGGTGATCCATTATAGAAATCCGATAGTAGTAGAGAAATGTATAGTGCAGGTATCAATTGAAATTCTAATAAAAGTCCCTCTACACTCAAAAAGCACTATGTATTTTTAGCAGTAATATCAGACACATCCATGCCAGCATAAGACCAGCGATAAAATGACTAAACACCTACAAAGTCCAGCCAAACTACAGGCACAAAACTTTGTGAACGAAAGTTTTGGGAACAATAACGGAAATGAAGCATGCAGTCCACGTCGAGGCAGCCCAGCTCAGGTTTCCACACCCCCTCCGCAGGAACGTTACTCAATGTGATTCTGATGAACAAGTCAAGTAAACAAAGTAAACAAACTTGATGCGGCTGATCTGCTAATCACCATTTCGTGTTCATCTGAGCAGACAGAAAGTGGGAGACTAGAGCTTACTCTAGCAGAAGTAAAACCAGTCGAGTCTGTAGTGCCTACACCTCACAGGAGCCAAATGAAGCTGGTTGGGTAGCGTTTTCAAGTTCTCTTGTTGATCATTGACAATAGGCCAAATCATTAGCCCGGTTTCTGCTCACTGAGCCATGCTTAAGCTTTCCTTAGTCTAAAGAAACCAATTCACAAAATAACTTAAGAAAGCGAAACAAAAGAAGGATTTAAGACATCAAGTTGAATTAGAGGCACATAAAGTGTTGAAATGTAGTCTGCTGGTTCTGTCGTCAACCCATTCAAGTGCTGGCATCAATATGTCGGCCATCTTGCACATCAAGGTGTCAAAAGCCGAGGTTTTCAATAGTAATTTTAGACGAAGTTTGTGGTAAAGAAATTAAATACACAGTTAAATTGCAGGTGACCACCGAATAAAGGTATCTGTGGGAAATAGGACTTCAATCAGGACAAACATATTTACAACAAAAACAAGTTTGCATAACCCTCCAAAGGCAAAGGAAGCCTAGAAACTAACACCTTCACAATAAAACAGCAGAATGTATTAGGTAAACATAAATTTTATGAACTAACATAATTAATCTAATGCAAATTTTGGATAATACTTTGATATTATAATTTACTAAAGAGTTTTGTAATTGAATATTCCGTATTCAGGCATTTTAGAAAATGTAGCCCCTCCCCCTTTCAATCTGGGTATACAACTCTTATGTAACAAACTAGAGCTTTATTTACTTATTATTGAAAACAATGAGTTTAGCTGACAATTACAGTGCTTGCAGCCTTGACTGCTTTGAAATCAACCAATCAGGTAATTACAGTCACCATTCATATTATTGGATTAGTAACCCATGTTTTCTTTTGGGTAACAAAAACTAGGACAAGTTAATTAACAGTAATAAGAGAAAGAAAGAAAAACACTTTCTGTAATAGAAAAGGAGAAGACAGAAATCTGGGCAGATTAATTATGTTCACAAATACACAAACAGATAGAGATAACCAGATAAAATATAAAACACTATTAAATGCACCATATGTTTTTCCCACAGTAAAAGTCATTTTTCAAAACTAGGTAATTGTGCTAAACATTCATAAAGATAATAACACTAATAAAAATATTAATATGTCGGTCTTTTATAGAAGATTATACTAACAAGATTTCTATGTGCTTCACACAAGAAAATTTCCTTTCGTAAATTTTCCAATTCTAATGCTTTTTAAATCTAATCAGATATTTATTTACTTCTCTAATGGGTGCTAAATTCAGACTCCGAACTGGCGGTCTACGTGACTACATTATTCATTGTTCATCAGCGATCACACTGCTACTGGTATAATACTGCCATTATACTCCAATACTAAACAATAGATAATGTTATTTTCTCAAACACAAGATTACAGACTGTCAGTACTTGATCTACGATAAATTTTCATCACAGTGCACCAAGAATACAAAATCAGATAATTACAAGTTGACTTGGAAAACAGTACATAAAGTGAAGGTTCTTTTCTTACAACATTAATTTCATTTAAAACTATGTAATACTAGATGGCAATAATTGTACGCTAATCTGTATTATAACCTTTGTTGAAATGCACTATGGATTTTGTGTGTAGATTAATTTTGAAGACAGAGTACTTTACTAATTCATTATCATCCAAGATATCATATTACTTTAAAAGATATAATTAAAATTATAAGATGCTTTACACGGGTCATTATTATTCACAAAGCTGGGACATTTAAAAAAAAAAAAAAATAATCCAGACCCTTTTAAAACATTTTTTCTTAAAAATTTAAGTAGTATTTGAAATAAATAACAGCAATAACTGTAAGTATTAAATTGTTATGAATGTATTATATTGTTATATTTAGGTAGTTTGTAACCAAAGTTGAATACAAAAATAGAGCCTGCCTATTAAATTGATAAATTAAAAATCAATTCTATGAGTCTTGAACGATTAAGTTACATTAATTCACAAAATATGAAGCTTTATGGGTGGAACTGAGTTTAACCATGAGAAAAACAAATCTGGAGACTTATAGGATTCGAACCCAAGGCTGTGGAATTGAATGATGGGCTCAAAACTCCATAACACGAAATTTGTCAACATTTATATCATACACTTTAGTCTATTATTATTGTTATTATATTTGTAAGTTGTATGTTTATTTTCATTTCTTAATCAGCAGATTTACAGAAGCCAGATTTTGATGACCAAACAACAAGACCACAGACCAGAAGTAACGTACCCAATGAGCATGCTCAAATGAAAATAGAAATACTTGGCAAGATGCCAAATGAGGTGTTAAGTGCAACGCTCAAATAATATAATTTCTAATGCCTGATATGTTGTCTGAACATTAAAGAATGTTTTCATTGGTCGAGTTTATAATCTCCCTTTTCGTTGATAAACACAAACCATTTATGCAACATCATAACGCTTTAAGTCTACCATCATAGATGAATAAATTAGCTTGAATTTTGAACTCACAAAACAAAAGATAATAATGAACTAGAAAAAAAGTAACATAACAAACATTAATAACAGTATTACAGCCAGGTAATAAATAACAATGTCTCGACCCAGTTTTTTTTTTTTAAAGGATTTTGGGAAACATTTTTTTTATTTTTTATTTCTTCAGATGGCTATAATAAAAATAATAATAATTAAATAATTATCTGTACTACATATATCCAATTCATTACTTTGGAACAAGGTAATAGAGAAAAAAAAAGTTAAATAGGAAAGGCTATATTAAAAATACTATAATCAGTAAATATAACATAAGATACCTAGAAACTACAGTAAATTGAATACCGATAGATTTAATGTGGTTTACTAATATCTTTAAGGTTGTTAATATTAACCTTTTACTTTACTTTCAATTTTCATAATTTTTAATTATTGAAATTTTTTAAAATTTCAACTTTGTTACTACTGTAAAAATTTTTACACCAATATGAACTCAATTTAAAAAAAAAATTTAACGGTTTTTTTACCATTTAATAGATTTTACTGATGATGATCATTTTTTAACACTACATGTTTTTTTTTCCTCTTTGAACTTTCTTTGCTACAGAAATTCCTTTATACATTAAATTAAATCAAATTATTGATAGACTTCAATTCCTCATAAAAAAGTATATTCTATTAGAATTGTTTTATGTAACAAAAGAGAGACAAAAATGAAAGAAATTTAAGAACAAGATATTAATATTTTTCCATTTATATCACTGACATAGAACCACATCAATTATGAATATTATAGAGTAGCGAATTATTGTTCGTAGCATATTGTTCGCAATATCCGATTATGGAGGAAACAAAAACAGTCAATAAATGTAACACCACCTATTACAATAGCTTAGAAAATTAATTTCATGATAGCCGGTATTATCAATCTCACAATGAGCATATTAATGGTGATGAGGTAAACTAAGAGCTCAAGTTGTGAAGACATCTGCGTAAATGCTTTGTTCAATAAAAATAAGATAAGATCAGTCTTACGACAATTCTTCAGCAAATATTTTTACAGGTACATCTTAAGATACTACTGATAATAATGTTATATCATAAGGTTGAAAATATATGATACTGAGAGCGAAAACACAAAAGATTTAGTTACACTGTAGGCCAAGTATATGAAGAGAAGTTATTTATATTGTTGAGATAAAAACTAAATGGTTCCCAAAACAAAACTCAATATACCACGATTTAAAGGTCTTTTTATCATCACATTCCACGCCATCTATGTAACCGATTAGCTTCCTTTTATGCTTGTACGACTTGCTTTCTTCCAAAATCATTTTACTGACCATACTGTAACTCTTGTCTAAAGGCAATAAGATGATTTTGAATATGTTCAGATGTATTCATTTTTATGTGTTTTAAGATATGTTATTCGATGTGAAATTCTTAAGTTTAGTTCAGTGCAACTTAATTCAGTTGGGTATACTGGTGGCAGCCCCTACCGTATGTGTGCGCTGAATCGTGGAGATTCAGATATTTGGTCCCTGACTCAATTCTAATCGCTGCTCTCCCTTTGTTTCAACTGGAGGGCTGAACTACGATAATGCACCATCTTTTGGATAAGACATTTGAAATTGTTGGTCTTATGTGCAATATGGCATGTGTGCATGTTAAAAATGCAGTACATTCTTCAGAAAAGAGAAGGGGATTGTCCACCGGTAAACAATTTACCACCCACTTGAAAAAAAATTCATGGAAATGAGTTATCCATGGTGCATTTCACAACAAAACTAGTACTACTATTCTACAATAAAATATGAAAATTAGACAACTACAGAAATACAATAAATATATAACATGTTCACACTCACTTATCGACCTAGTTTTGTTTCAAATTGTCTCTAGTATGTCAAAGACTAACTGCTTGTATCTAAATGAGACAATAAACGTTTGTGAAGCAGTTGTAATGTAATAACAGTACAACAGACAATAAAAGTTCGAAGTTAATAATAACATATTTGTCTGCCTTAGATAAGACTACTACGCAATACAAACATTAATTCAAAAATCTAAAAAAAAAAAACTACCAAAAAAATATGACAAAGGTCTGATGAGTGATTGATATAGGGCATGGAATGAACCGAATAACTGGATCCCGGCTTTATCGCGTATCAAATTGAGCTACACGTAATCCAGCGTCTTCTATTCCGAAAAAACACTGCTGCATTCTCACGGGAATGACGCCATTATAATGTTTCTGAAATTGACAGGTGAAATTGCAGTGAATTGTAACATTATTATGCAATGATTAAATACAGATTATGACTATAAGCCTCAGGGTGTTGTATAAACCCAACTGTCTTCTCGCAAACAGTTGAAACGCTAAGCTAATAATCAAAAGGAAAGATTCTTAAGAAAGGTGAGAAGACGAAAGGAAATGTCAAAAATTTGTAATGTTTATCAGTAATTAGACAATGTTTATTTGTGAAATCAGAGTTCTCTCATATATTAATCTGTCACAGAGTAATTTAAAACCACAAGAAAAATCCAACCAAACATCAATTGATTTTATAAAGCCCTGTTTGGACTAACAAAAAACATGTGACAAGCCTAAACCGGTCATGATGATATCATATAACCATATATAGGCACATCATGACCATATATGGCCATAAACAGTTTGTCATAAAAAAAAACCTGATAATCTG